TCTATTGTTAAGACAGATATTTTATTTTGGCAATTTCATAAACTGATTAATATTAAAATGAAGAAGAAATAGAAACACCTCCTCTATATGAAAATCAAACATTTGTTTATTAATTCACTAAAGTAGGAAATTATGTTATACAATGTCTGAATTCAATACCATTTAAAGCATATATTTCAGTAATTCAAAACTAAAAGGAAATATCTGTTGTCTAAAAAATGCAATAAACCAAAAACATTGAATAAAATTCTGTAAAACCATAACCAAAGGTTGATTTATATGCACCAAAAAATAGAAAATTCAAAATTTTAGGTAATCAAGAAACAAACATGGCATCCACTATAATTCTAGAGCAGATTAAAGAAAAATGTTTAGGAGAAGATATAAATATTGATATAGTAGACTTGATAATGAATAATAAATCAAACAGCAATATCGAAACAGTGTCAACTTTTAATAGTTCTTTCTAGTAACCATAAAATATAGTAAAAATAAAAACTGATACATATTCTGATTCAGGCAAATCAGAATTTAATACAATATTAGATAGGAAGAGTTCTGATCCAATTATTAGTACTCCAAAAGTTTAAGATAGGATCATGTTAACTAGATAAAAGCAATAGTAATTGAGTGTTTATGAGAAAATTCAATAAGCCATTTTAGATTCAAAACATAAAGAAATTGATATATTAAATAACTAAACAGATTTCAAGAAAACTTACTTGAAAGGTTTGAGTATCATAAACTATTTAGAGATTGGTAAAATATTTAATTTATATAGAATATCTTATGAACATCTCGAAAAAAGCTATTGTAAATAATGAAATACAAAATTGATTAAAAGTTTGTTGTTTTCAATTTTTTTTAATGACAATTTTAAAAAATAGATATCTTTTAAATATTATTTATTAAACAAGATATAAATGTTTTTGTAATCTTTTATATTTTAATATTTATTAAGAATGTAACATCTAATATATTATTAAATCATTATTTGTACCTAATACATAATTAGATATACAAATTAAAACAAAGATTATATTTATTATTAATAATAAAATAATTAATTAATGATTTAGACTGATTCAGATTCTAGTAGAAGAGTGGCTTACTTTTATAATCGATTTATTGGAAAATTTCAATATGGTAAAGAGCATCCTATGAAACCAAAAAGAATCATTATGGCGCATAATCTGATTGTCAATTATGGGTAGAAATAAACTATTATAAATTAAGACTTTTTCGATAGATGGATGTTTATTTAATAAGGGAAGCTTAACTATAAGAAATTGGAAAATTTCATGATCCTGATTATATCATTTATCTAAGTTAATTCATGAGTTAAAATAAGATAAATTTTGTTAAAGAGTATTGCTCAGCTAATAATGAATCTGTAATACCTGAAAATTTATTGGAAGAATTTAAATTGATTATTAAATGGAGTCAATAATCAAAAGTAAAAACAGAAAATTCTGAATTCAAAGTTGGTGATTCACCTGATAATCCAACATTTTCTGGATTGTTTTCTTATTGTTAATTAAGTTCAGGAGCAAGTATAGATTGTGCCCATTCTATTTTAACTGGTTAAGCTGATATTGCTATAAATTGGTCTGGTGGATTACATCATGCTAAAAAGAAAGAAGCAAGTGGATTTTGTTATATAAATGATATTGTCTTATGCATTTTAGAATTACTAAGAGTATATGTGAGAGTATTATATGTTGATATTGATTGTCATCATGGTGATGGAGTAGAAGAAGCATTTTATTTAACAAATAGAGTTATGACATTATCATTTCATTAATATGGAGATGATTTTTATCCAGGAACAGGATAATTGAATTCTGTTGGAGTAGGAGTTGGTAGATATTATTCAGTTAATGTGCCAATGAAGCCTGGAATGTCTGATTAACCATATATAGAAATGTTCAAAAAAATTACAAGTAGAGTAATGCAAGTTTACAGACCAGATTGTATTGTAATGTAATGTGGAGCTGATTCATTATCTTAAGATAAATTAGGAGGATTTAATTTATCAATTAAGTAAATCATTTATATAATCAAATTTTAGAGGTCATGGTGCTTGTGTATAATATATGAAATCATTTGGAATTCCTATGATTTTACTTGGTGGTGGAGGATATACAATACAAAATGTTTCCAGATGCTGGGCATATGAAACAGGAATAGCTCTAGGTCAATATATTGATGAAGTAATTTATCATTTATTATTTATTATTTAGGCAATACCATCAAATGATATTTATTATGATTATTACTCACCTGACTATTTATTACATTTTCCAATTAAGTAGAATGTGGAAAATAGAAATAAAACAGAAGATTTAAATAAAATAGTGTCTACAGTTTATGATTATTTGTCCCATATAGAGAATGCTCCAGGAATTCATTTTCATGATGTTCCTTTTTCATTTTATCCTGATATGGATGAGGAAAATGAAGATGAAAATAAAGAGTGTACCTGATCTTAATTTAATTTTAGAGATTGATTAGAAATAAGAAGTATCTTTGAATGAATTAGAATAAGAATTAGGAATTTCTAATTCTAGCAAAAATGAAATATCAGTTTAATCCAATTCAAGAAAAATATATTCTAAAAGTCAACAATAAGATTTATGATAATAATGAATTTTTAGTTAAATATATCAAAATTTCTAGATTAAAATTAAGCTATATTTAAAATATATCATAAGCATGTTTCTAAATGATTTCAATTTGATCTAATGATTGTAATTATTATAATCATTATATATTTAAATATAATTATTTTCACATGTCTTCATCTTATTTAAAATAATTATACATCCATTTCTGTTATAATATCAAATTTATCATTTAAATATCTTAATAAAAAATTTTATATTATAAATGCATATCAATAAACAAATTATGAATCAAGTTTAAATGTTTAAAATATTAAGAATAATTATATTTGAATAAATAAATTAATCAATTTTTCTCAGATAAAGTTTTTATAATGTCTTAAAATAAATTTGGTCTATTTGGAAACCATATATTAATAAAACCAGTCAAGTCTGTACTAATTTTATTTTCATCCTTAACAATTTTAATCTTTTTTTTTTAAGTTTCAGATCTATAATTTTATAAACCTTAAATTAAATTATTTGTAGAATTAGTATTTTATTCCATTTTATTAATTTAAGTTATTAATACCACCTTTTTAATTGGTGTTATATTCTTATTTTATTAATTATTATCCTAATCAAGTTCAACACTTAAATCAGGTGAATTTTTTTAGCTTAATCTACTAATACAACGTCCTCTTCCATCATTTGATATTAATGATTATCTTCTTTATTATAAAATAACACTTCTATCTAATTTTACTCTTAGTAAACTTGTTGGAAGAATAAAAGAATTATTTTACATAATATCATTATTAATTTAGTTTGATATTTATGTTTTTGTAGATTTAATCATATGTAGTAAATCCTTTTCAACAGCTTAATTATTATTATATTTAAGTATTTCAACTAAATCATGGGTTGTAATATAACCTTAATTATTAAAATCATATATTAAAAAACATAATCGAATCTATGATTTTACATCCAAATATTCTAATTTATTAATCAACTATTTATATTCTTAAGCACTCATAATAGGTGGTACTTTAAAAGCTTTAGCAATTTATTAACAAATTATTATAGGATAGGTTCTTTCTAAAAATTTGATAAATTGTTGTTTATTTATTCTGATATTTCTTAATAACAAGGTTTAACTCTTTTATTTAAGATCAGTTTCTAATTCTATTCTACTGATTTCTCCCAAGACATCAGACAATTATTATATGTTATCATCTTAACATAAGGATAGTATACGTTTAATTTTTGAAGGAGATGCTGTATTTCTTCTTTCTTATTTAACAATTAAAATAGAGCTTGTTAATTTTGAACTACTTCTTCCTGTAAATTAATCAATACAATTTATTTATTATATTGCATCTATAGTTGATGCTTATCTAATTGTTTGTTTTTTTCTGTTGTTACGATCTGTAAATCTAGTATTAATAATCGTTTATTTTCTTAATTAAGATATCAAAGGAGCTGAATGATTAAAAATAATTTACTTAATAAATTGTGTCTGTATGCTTTCTTAACCAACAAATTTAATTCATTATTTAACATTTTAAACTAATTACATTTTTTATAATTTCGTAAATTATTATTAATTATATATATCATTAATTATAAATAAAGAAGTCTTTAGGCAGCTTACCAGGTCTTACACAAATAAAACTGCTATTGTTACTAGATTTATTTGACAATTTTTTTTTTAATTCACAAGTATTTAATAGTAACAAATCTAATATATTATCATCTCTTTATAATTTTAAATTAGTCTAAATTTTAGAGATTTTCCTTTGTGTTTCTAATGTTGGTTTAATATAAGATATTGAATTGTCATTCATTTTAAATAACTTATCTATAGTTTATGCATTGCTATATGATCTTTTTTTATTTGAAGGAGGTAGTTCAACTCGATGAGTTGTTAAGATTGGTTCTATAAATCTAGATGTTTTTTAACAATCTTTACTTCATTTAAACTTAAAATATTTACCAACATTGAATTTTTTTTGTTAATTAAGTTTACTTAATATTTCTCTTGATTCATCCATTTTATTAATATGATTATGATAAGATTAACTCTTATTTCTAGGTATTTATTTAAATACATCATAAACTCTAATCTTTTCTTAACTATTTTTATTTGAGATTGATTTTCTATTCAAATATTAATATTTTTTCATACATTGAAGGTATTATTGTTCTTTAAGTTCTTTAAGTAGTTATTTATTATTGTTCTTTTGGTATTTAGTTATTTGATTTAGTATGCTTGCTTAAATTTAGTGCTCTCATAAAGGTGGGATCAGGTTATTTAATTATAATAGCCTTGCTCTTATTATTCAAACATTAATTCATAACGAAAAATACTAAATAAAATTAAATTGATTAAAATCATTATATAGCAGATGCTATGTATTTATAATAATTGATACTAACATTTTAAACTCCAAAACATTCTAAACAAATTAAAGGTTCCAATACTCGATTCTCATACCATTTTTCTGAATTGTTATTTTTCACAACTTATTCATATGCACCATTAGGAAATATGATTAATTTTTCATATTCATTTTTTTCAATCCAAACTTAATAATCAATAAATTTGTATTCAAAATCAAAATTCATTTATTATAATTGTTATTTTTTTAATTTATTAATTTATTTCCACTTCTCTCTAAGAATATATAAATTAAATATTATACTTAGTTTTTGCTGTCTTAATAAAATCACAATATGCCTATCCCAAAATCTCTTTACAAATAAATGTCTTATAGAAAGCACTATTAAGATATTTTAATTTCTCATCATCCTCTATTAATTCCTATCTTAAAGAATTATTTTCTAATTATCTATATAGAAATACCTGTAGTGAGACTGTAATTCTATAAAAATTATTCATAAAATGGAGATATTTCAAAAAATTCAAGAACAAGACGATCTCTTAATTTTAATAATGCCATCTGTGTACCCACTCTTACTTAAACCAATGCTAAAATTTCCCAAACACAATCTTTTAAATCAACAAAAGATAAACAACTTTCACATTAATATATTTTATTTTATTGCCATTTCACACTCCCTTTACAAATTGAACATGTATATTAGAAAAGTATTGAATAAATTTTGACTGTATCAACTTTATATTTTCTTAATTTTCTATCTATTGTATATGATTTAATTTCATTCAATTAAGAATATGGTAATATATTGAATGTTTTTAATCTCCTTAATAAAGATTATAAATTAATTTATTGATTTTCCATATTAATTAAATCATATTAAATTATCTATTAATCTTCTATAAAACCCTTAAATGAATTTTAAATAACTCTATTCTACTTTTATAAATTTGTAAAGCTAATTTTTTAACCTAATTTATAATTGGTTGTTTATTATATGTCATTATATAGTAAATCAATCTCACAAGGAGAATGAGTCACATCATCTATAATACCTAAATTTAACATCCTTTTTTGATCTGTATTTATTTTATAAATATAACCTACTAAAGTGGATATTTTTAAATTTTGTAATTTCTATTTTATTTTATTTTACATTGTTCCTTCAAGTTGAAATTCTTCTTATGATAAATAATCATTTAAATTGATAATATAAGGATTCGTAATAAATTTATCAGATTTTTCAACTTCTATTGATTATTTTGGATGTTTATCAAATATTTCAGATTTATACTTCTCCATCTCCAAAATATCTTGTCTATCACAATAAATCCTAGATTGAGTAGAAAGTAATCCGCAAAATTAATTGTTCATTGTGCCTACTTGTACTTTTGTGAATTCATACTTAAACCCTATCTACAAATCCATTTTTTATATTTAGATGAAACCATATATCTTAAATTACTCTTTCTCAATGGATACTGTTATTATGATTAAATTAATTTAGTTCCATTTTTAATGTTCTATGCCTATAACTTTACCCTCAATAGAGATTAATTAATCAGCAGACTTATTAACTAAATTTTTTATAAATTACATAAAAAATATATTAAATAGTAATGCTTAATTTTATAAGTAAATCATCATGAATTACCCTTATAATTATATCTTCTCGATAAATTAATTTTGATGGTTATAAATATTTGATTAATCTCTTTTACTCATTTATAATTAAATAATCAATGGATTTTTTAACTAGATTCAAGGGCAGAACATAAACTATGAATAAAGAAGGGATTACTGGAATAATTAAATCAAATAGTAATCCTATAGAGAAGTTACATGCCTTTTAGAGTTGTAGCTCATTGCTAACTACAACTGCAACTCATACTATTTCTGATTCTGAGAAATAGTCCATCTATTCTAATGATTTTACACCAAAGAGTAAGGATCCAAAGATAATCACAAATATTAGTGCATTTCATAATAGAAAGTCTTCTTTAGCATCTCCTCCAACTCCAAGCTCTAATCTCAATATGTCAAAATCATAAATAGAACTTAATCACAATTAAAAGTAAACCTTATCAAAGACAGGGTCAACAAATTTTAATCTGAATGATTACTAATTGATTATAATACCAAAAGAAGCACTATGTAAGAGAATGAATATGATAATTAGGTTAATATAAAATGGAAAATACTGAATATCATTTATAAAGCAAAGAACCATTGCAATAGATATAATAAAGATATTATTGTTCAAAATCTCAATCGTTGGATACATAAAAAGATAAACCTCTCATAAAATCTTAAATACTAAATTAGGGTTCTTATTCAAAACAAAATGAGAGGAAGAAAAGTATGATATAGACAGGTTTGAACACAATTCAATACTGAGGAAGGACAAGATATCACTTAATTAATATTTATATATTAAAATAAAAAGAAAACAAAAAAAAGGAAATTTAAATAATTTTAATTTTTCTCATTTTAACAGCTATGACTTTTCAAGATTAAGCAGAAAAAATATTCGGAAGCCTATAAAAAGCCTTGAAACGATTAGAGTTGGAATTGGAATACAATTATGAAATAATTTTGTCAAAATAAAAAGCTTATTAAGAATCATTAGGAATGATAGCAGAATTAGAGTAATTAGTAATGATCAGAAATACTGAGATTGAATTAGGTGGATATTAAGAGATGTCTTAATCAGTCTCATTGGATGATCAAGATCATCATCTTTTAATGACTTAGTTAAAGGATAATATAAATTTAGTTAATGATTACAAATCACAAATTTAAGAAGTATTATAATAATATAATTATAATAGATTAGACGTTAAAATTAACTCATAAACAAATTAGTTAAAGAATAATCTCATACTAGTTCATAAAATTAATCGTTTGAATATGATTAAGAAAATGATTATGAAATTAATTCAAATTTCATTTAAAAAAGATAGTAAAAAAATGCAGAGAGAGTTAAGGAAATAGAAAAGAAAATAAAAGAAAAATAAAAGAATTTATATAAAATGTAAAAAAAGATAAAGGGTAAAGAGAAAGATTATGATTATCGATTACTTAATTAAATTGAACGATTGGACTCAGAAATAGAGAAAATAACACATTAAATAAAATCATTAATTGATTGATAAATAAAAACATTTTTCTTATAATTTATATATATCTAATAAATTTAATTTATTTAGATACAAAATAATTAATTTTGATCTAAAATAAAAGTATTAAACTCTTTAATTTGATAATTATAAGATATAATATATTAGAATTAATGTAATTTATATTAAAATATTTTGTATAAAAATAAATTGTATATCAAAAGTAATTACAAATAAATTAACAAATCATTAAATATACAATTATGAATTAATTGAATCTAGACTACTTATTATATTCTATGTTGTTTCTTTTGATCTCTTTATTTTAAGAGAAGATGATGAACTCTCTAATTAATAAATTTTATGACATTTATTAACTATATGTGAATCATCTTTTTTAATCTTTTTTCTTATTGAATTTATTTGAAATTATCTTTTATTATTCTTTTATTATAGATTTTCTTCATATTCATTTTTATGAGTTTTTAAAAACTCTAAAGATATTTAAGATAATTGTTTTCTTTTCTCTTTGACCAAACTCTCAAAGTAAGATGATTTATAAATTTCCTCTAAATCTCCATTTAACTCTAAGAATTGTCTTTTCATTTTGTAAATCATATCATTTCTTTCACATCTTATACAAGTACACAATCCCTAAATCCATTAATAAAATAATACTTTGCATAATGGACAAATCCATAAATAAGATGTAATTTCATAAGAATCAAAATCATACTTTAAACATTTTAAACAAAAATATCTTTGACACATAATTTGTTAATCTATTATATTGATGATATTAATACTTTCTATTATGTAATTCTCAGAATATAAATCTAGAAAATATTATTGCGTTTATTTGGCATTTATTTAATATCTTTAACAAATCAAAAAATCTTCATTGTATTCATGAAGACCCATTGAAAAATGATTATAATGACACTATTTCATATTTTTAACTTCAACCATCTCTTTACAATAATGGCACATTTACATTTCAAATACATCCTACAATCATACTCTTTTGATATACATCTGACCTGAGACCGCACTGTTAAGTTGTTAAATCATATGGTTCTTCTCTTAATCTCTGGAGATTACCAAAATATTCTAAACTTAAATTTATTGGAGATGAAGTCAAATATTTATCAAATATAACAGTAATGGTATTATCTAATAAAAATAATTTTAATAATTACTATAATCATTGAAAGTTGCTTTCCCAACACTTTCAGCAACTTAATAATCCTGTAATGATATAATTTGTTATTTTAATAAATTCAATTCATTTTGATAATTTGAAATTCTTTATCTAGTCAATTTCAATTTTTATTCTCCAATTTATTAGCTATTGTAAGTATATAATACTGTTAAGTTTATCTAATGAGTGTGTTATTCTAAACTAAATAAAAAAAATGTATTTTTTTGAATACCTTTATAATGCATCCTTATTATTATTGGTTAGTTCATTAAGTTAATGCTGATATTGCTCTATTGAAATACTTAATTCATCTGGCCAATCAATTTGATATATCAAATTTGATAATAAAATTGCTTCTTTATTATAAATCTAAAGTTGTTATGATTCTGAATATTAAGATATATTTTTTATTAATTCTTCGGCTTACTATAATCCAACAGTCAAATGAGTAAAACAAATTTAGTCTATCATTTCATCCATTAAATTTTAAATAGGTTCTTATGTTGATTGTCTTTACAAAAATAGCAATTGTACTCTTGTTTTTATATTATTTAGATTAGCTTAGAATAGCTTTGTTCGATTGTTCTATCTGATTAATTTATTTAAAAGTTTTAGACATTTTGATTTTTTGCAATTCCAAGCTACTCTTATTGAGAAAAACAATACATTTGCTTTTTAAAATATCAATATCTACTATTTAAATTGGAGATTAGACAATGAAATATTATTCATTTATGTCTCTCCAAAACTCTGAAGTGAAGATTGATTCTCCATTTTTATCCATTTGCAATATTTTTTATATTGGATTGAAAATAATTAATTAATATGTAAATTAGTTTAAACAATAAACATTTAGACATAAGTAGTCTTAAATAAAAAGAAACCAAAAATAATACTAATTCAATTTTAAAATGCAGCCAATTATCCTTTGTTTTATAATTCTTTCTCTTTTTCTTTCTCTGCATCAATAACTGCCTAATCTCTCCAATCATATCCAACTTCTTTAAGTATTAAACCCAAAATAATTCCAATAACATTCAATGCAAAACAAATCCAAAATACTCCTTCCCATTTGATCTGCTTTCTTGCAAAAGCATATAATATATATCCAATCATATTTGATACTCCAACAAAGAAGAACATGAAACCATACATCAAACCTCCAATTTTCTTTCCATAGATTTTGGCACAAATAACTGGATATGTAGCCAATAATCCACCTTCTGCAAGATAGACTACAGCAATCAATAAGAGATAACCAATTCCATCTTTATTATATGGTAAAATGGCAGTAGTTATTAAATTGAGAATTGATATGAGAGTAAATGTAAATTTGTATGATGTCTTATCTGTTAGAGTGGCCCAGAAGAATCTTGATGATCCATTCATTACTCCTGCTACTGAACCAGTAGCTGTTAATGTAGCATCATCAATTCCCAATTCTAATCCATAATATTTATAACAATTAGATATCAACATACCAAAAGTACAAGACATCAAAACAATCAATTGGAGAATTATAAAAGATGGATGTTTCATACCTCTAGAACTAAAAAATATAAATATTATATATTACACTTCGACACATTCTTTATGAGCTGGTAAAACTGGAGGAGCAGGAGCAGGAGCACCTTCTTTTCTTTTCTTTTTTTCTTCTGCTTCTAAAGTAGCTAACATTTTATCAGGATCAATTTCAGATGGGTATCTAACCATAATTGTTGCTATAATTCCCAATCCAAAATAGCTTGCAGCAAGTACTTGTAACATTAATGGTACATTATCTCCTACTTCACTGTCAAAGTATTTCACATCTTTTCCATCTTCAACTTCTATCACTGATGGCTTTATATTGTTAGGATTTGCTATTGCTTTGCATACAAAATTGAATATAAATGATCCAAATCCATATCCACCAATTGTCAATCCTGATACTAAACCTCTTCTATTAGGGAAGTATCTCCATCCACAAATAATTGGTAACATATACAATAACCCACCAGAAATACCAACCATTATACAATACACTGCTATAAATCCTCCTATCTGTTAGATAAATGATATTATCAAGAAAGCCAATGCAATTGTGAATGATCCTATCCCTATTGTAACTTTAAATCCAACTTTTTCAGCAATCTTTATACCAAATGAAAGGACTGACATTGTAATGACTCCAAGGATTGGAAATATGATAGCCATGAAATTTAGTGTTACTCCAGTATCTTTTTCTCTCATCCAAGCACAAACATATGGACCTAAAAAAAAATTATTTTTAATTTATTACTAATTGATCCCCAAACATAAAAAGTTCCCAATTCTATATGTAAAATTACACCTCCTATCAATGAAATTATTCCTCTTTTTGTAAAGTTCTTCATTTCCTCCTCTGTATAAATCTCTTTATTAAGATTAATCTATAGGTCTGTTTTCATAGGACTACTTTAATCACTCATTTTATGAAGTAATTTGTTTTATTCGTTTACCCCATGTACTGTAGCTAGTCCAGTTAAGTTATTTTATGCAATAGATGATGCATCTTGTTACTCCATTTTTTTATAATGTTTTATTTGAAAAAAATATATCTTATTGCTAATTATTATAAAACCTCATAAACTCAAATATCATAATACAAACAAATAGTGTGTCATTAAAAAATGATGCACTTTTACTCTAATTTATTATAAAAATTAACTATTTTTTATAAAATTTTTATAATATTTAAATTTATTCCCTATTTTCAAGTGCTCCTTTTATCTATTCCTAACTATTCTTAAGTTAACATATATAATCTATACACAAGAACAATTATATAATCCTATGTTAATCAAATGTCCTTTCTCTCCATCCCATAGAAAAAATAACTTTTCTTACAAAATCACTGAATTTCTACTCTACAAGATGCAACAGTAGCAACTCATCCTTTTTTTTTAATAAATAATCAATAGAGACCAAGAAATACACAAGATATTTTCAAAAATTTTATTATAATTTTTATTGTTCATTTAATATTGTAATTCAGACTATTAATATTTTGTTAAAACAAAAACTATTTATTGTGTTGATATTAGAATTCTTAACATTATGTTAATACCATAAATTCCTTTTCCAAGTAATCCTATACTATAAATACATATTAAACATGTTTCTAAAATTAAAAAGGAAGAAAATTATTTAAACTCTAAAATATGGTTGAAATACTCTTTAAGTAGTGTCATCAATGTTGAATATTCCAAAATATTTATAAAAATGAAGAAAAAAAGGTATTTGTTAATGAATTATGTTAAAATGATTTCATATTACAGATTATTAATAAATTTTTAAATATTTAATTTAGTTATAGTGAATTTTGATTATATTGGAAAATAATGATAAAAAAGTCTAATTATAATAGAAAAGTGAAAAGTTCTTTTTATGCTTCTTTTAAGATTTCTTTGGATAAAATAGTATAGAACTATCAATTATGTTTAAAGTAGTAAAATAAAGAAGGCGAGTACAAATATAAAGGGTAAAATTATATATTGTAATTATTTGAAATATTATCTATTTGTTCATCTTCTTCTCCTTCTGTGGCTCTAACTTGGACTCCTAGAATATGATTTTGAAATTGATCTTCTTTTATAATGTCGTCGACGACTAAATAATAGTTATAAATTTAACACCTATGATGTCTTCTACGACTACTTGAATAAGAGTCAGATGATACAGATCTTCTTCTTCTATGTGATCTAGATCTAGATCGACGGTAGGCATAACCAGCATATCGACCTGGGGTCTTTCTTCTTGGCTCTGCTCTTTTAGAAACTTCCACTTTCATTTTTGATCCATGCAATTCTTTGTCTTGCATAGCCTCTAGAGCAATTTGGACACTTTCTTTTTTGGCAAATTTAACGAATCCAAAACCTCTAGATACTTTGCCAGGGCTAGGGTAAATTAGAGATAGGGAAATTACTACCCCTTGCTACGGGGCTCCATACAGACAGTGGCATATTCAATTTGGCCATACTTCTCGAAGATTTCTTTCAACTCGGCATCGGTAACTCTCTTGGACAAATTGGAGACATGGAGGCATAATTTTTCTATATGTTGATAATGTTGAAGTAGTTGATAGTGAGGTATTTTGAATGTTGATATATGATGTGTGATTAACCTTAATTTGGATGTGAATTTGATTTCGATTTTGGACTTGGGCTCTAATGTTAACTCTTGGATGGACTGCTTCCTAAGAAATAGAAATAATAAAATTACGACTGGACTTAGATGATTTAGACATTACTCAATAATAATAAATATTAATATATATATATAACTTATTTTGTATTTCAATTACCATCGAAAGAATTCGATTAAAGAAAAGTAATTGTTTTTGATTGCCTCTTTAATATCTATAATTCATAATTATGTTACAATAATAGATTTACAAATATATAGGTTATAAAGAAAAAAAAAAATAACAAAAATTACATTATATTTTTCACTCTTCTAAGTCTTTTAAGGTATAATGTTTAATAATTTAATTACTTTGTTCTTAGAATTAATTTTTAAATCTTTTATTTGTTTTTTATAAATTGAATACACTTTTGATACGGATATTCTCTTTTGTTTTATTAAGTGAAATCTCTTTATTATTAACATTATTCATATGTTATTCTTCATTTTTTTCAGGTTATTTAATTAATGATGGTTATGATAAAGGTATTTCTTAATGGTAAGAATGTTCATTAAAATTTGGATTTAAATCTAATACTGTAAACTTTTTAGTCTCTTAAGCTGATTAGTTATGATGTAATACTGGGATTAATTTTGATTTAGAAGATATATTAACAAATGAGCATCTTGCTTATGCAGATAAGGGTCTTATTTAAATATTAGATTAATATGTATTTATTGGTTTTTAGTATTTAAATTTTATTTAAGGATGTTTATCAACTGAAAAGGCACTCTTTTATTCATCACAAGATTATTTAAGATCATAATCTTCAATAAAAAGATTAACTTTATTATGTTGTAATTTTTAAATAGGTTTTTATAATTGGTATTCATTGTGATTAGGATCTATCTTAATTTAATTTTATTAAATTAACTTATCTAATTTATTTAATTTTTCTTTTTATTATGATAATAGTTATTTTTCTAATTTAATTTATTTCTCATTTTCTATTTTCTCCTCTCTTTGCTTATCCAATTTCTCTTTTTCTAATTTTTCTTATTATTCTGTAATTATTTATTAATATTGCTATTATTTAATAATTTTATCCGTTTCATTCTATTTTTATACTTTTTAATTTGTCTCAACATTATAAAGATAATCAATATTACCTTCAACTTATAAAATTGATTTTTTTATTTTATTAACTTTATCAAATTCTATAGATGGTGTTATCTATTTATTTAGATTGCCTGTTAAAGGTCTTTAATAATGATGCTAATTTTGATTTAGAGTAGGTGAAGTACGTTCTTCAATATGTCTTTATTTATTTATATTAAATACTATTATATTTTTAATTCGCCACCTTATTTTTCAAAGAATAGACTATTAATTTATTATATACTAGGTCTTAATGTAGGAATTTTCTCTAATAATTTAGTAATGAATTAGAATAATTCTTAATATATGATTTATAAATTTACAGCTTGAATATTATGAAGGCAAAGGTTTTGGTGAATGGTTAACAATACTATAACCTAAGGTAATTAGATTTTCTCCTTAAAATGGTGGTTCCAGTGTAGCCAACTAAAATACAATACAACCAAGAGCCCAAACATCTACTTTATAATCATAAGGTTAATGTTAGACAAGTTCTGGTGCAAGATAAAGAGGAGTACCAACACGTGTACCATCTAAGGCAATTTCAGAATTAAATATTTTAGAAACTCCTAAATCACCCAATTTTATGTGTTTATCTTTAGTAAGGAAAACATTAAGTGTCTTAATATCCCTATGAATAATATTATTTTCATGTAAATGTTATATAGCTTAAGTTAATTCTCTACTCATTTACCAAATAGTATTTTCTTTCAAGCTTTTTCTTTTTTCCTTATAATCTTTGAGTAACTATTTATAAGTTTTAAGTACTTTCTAGAGATCTCCTCCTTCTGCATATTCCATTATTATACAAAGATTATCTTATTCAATGAAACTCACATAATAACTTATAATATTTGGATGCTTTAAAGTTCGTAGAAGTTATGCTTCCTTTAGTGCTTCAGCTTAGAAATCTGAAATAATAATACCTTATTATTTTGGTTTAAGATGAGTGAGGTTTATCTTCTTCAAGACATAGATAAGTCCATCATTAGTTGATTTGACCTTATAGACTACACCAAATGAACCTTTGCCCAATTCGTTCAAAATGATAAAATGCGATAGATTACTACCAATTAATTAATATTAACGACCTAGTTGGAGACAAAGTGAATTACTATCAAGCTCATATAGTTGATGGATATCCTTGGAATCCATGGTTAATGGAGCTTTGGCAGTTGTAGGTCTTTATTTCATATAATTTAAAATATATTAAGTCTTAGTGAGAATTAAATGGAAATGAGAAAACTAAACAATAGAGAAGTATTTAAAATGAACTGATATTTATAATTGAAATTACACAATAAATTAATGAGGATGACATAATATAAATTATCAAAATGAACACAGATCCAATACCACCTCCTAGAGAATATATGATACCTGAAGATTTTCATTAGAACATTAGAACTAGATTCCTTAACTTCTTTCGTTATAATGTAGGGGATAAAGCAAGGAATAGTGTAATTATGTTAAAGGGAGCCTATAAAATCAATAAACATGATGAGGGTAATTGAATAGTAATATTGTAGATTAATAATATAGAGTGGAATAAGAGAGTAATTTCCATTATTTGTTTGGAGTAGATTTTCTTAATTGTTATGCAATAATAGATGTAGACAATGGGAAATCTATTGTATTTGTGCCATAATATGATTCTAATTATAAGATGTGGAATGTTGTATTAAACAATGACGAAATTAAATAAAAATTTAAATTAGATGAAGTTTTATATAATGAAGAGATAGAATAATGGTTGAATAATAGAAAACCATCATTAATTTATTATTTTTATGGAATTGATGATTATTCTCATCATTCATTACCTATACCTGATTAACCATTCTTACAAAATTATAATTCTGATTATGATGAATTATATTATATACTTACAGAATGTAGAGTAAGAAAGACTCCATAAGAATAAGATATTATGAGATATATTTGTAAAATTAGTAGTGAAGCTCATGAATTGGTTATTAAAAACATAAGAAAAGGCAATAAAGAATATTAAATGGAAGCTTTATATTAATATCATACATTTATACATCATGGATGTCGTTTTACACCTTATGAATGTATTTGTGCATCAGGTACAAATGGATCTGTTTTACATTATGAAGAAAATTCAAAAACTATAAATGAAAGGGAACTTATATTAAATGATATGGGAGGTAAGTTCTATGGATATTGCAGTGATATTACAGTTACTTTTCCTAGTGATGGAAGATTCACATAAAAATAAGCTATTATTTATAATGCTGTTCTTGATACTCAAAGATAAGTTCATAATTCTTTAAAAGTTGGAGTTAATTGGGGAGATATGTAATTATTGGCTGAAAGAACAATAACTAAACATCTATTTAATGCAGGATTAATTAAGGGATCAATGGAAGATCTTATTAAAAATAGTATTTGTAGATTATTCTTTCCACATGGATTAGGTCATATGTTAGGTTTAAGAACTCATGATGTTGGAGGATATAATAAAGGTACTCCTCCAAAATTACCAGGTTTTATTATTTATTTAATTTAGAATTATCTTAATTATAATTTCGTAGAGATTTGGATGTAGGAATGATATTTACTAATGAACCTGGAATTTATTTTATTGATTTCATATTACAAGAAGCTTATAAAGATCCTAATAAAATGAAATATTTGAATAAAGAAAGAATTTAAGAATTTATGCATGTAGGAGGTGTAAGATTAGAAGATGACATATTATTAACAGCTAATGGTCCAGAAATACTAAATGATGTACCTAGAACTATTAAATAAGTAGAAGCATGTTGGAGAGGTGAAGATTGGAGATAAATAAATGATTGAATATATATTTAATATTATTATAATAAAGTATTTTAACTTTTTTAGGTAATATCTTTAAAAAGTGAAGTTAATATTTTATTATATATAATCATTTAATATATATATATTCATAATTAAATTTCCATGAATTTAGAAAACTAATGCAATCCAAAATACAAATAAGATATCTTTAATACTACTATTATTATCACAGTACACATAAAATACAATTACCAAATAGTTTATGCTAATTAACCTTCTTCTTGTAAGTCTTTTAAAGCATCTTGTTTGTTCTCTTCATTTTAATATGCTGTTAATTTAGTCAATTCTTCTTAAAAATTGTAATAATAAATTTATACTAATTAGCCCACACTATAAAGTAGTATTAATAAATAAATGTGATAATATATGTATCGATTCAAGTTTTTATTACTTCTGAAAAACAACACTATTAATTGGATGACATAGGATGCTGTAAATATCATATAAAATGCTAATGATATTCCAATAGATTAATAAACCATTTTAATGGATTGAGCAGAAAAATCATTTACTACTTTGTATGAGTAAGCACTCTAATTTTGTAAGATTTCTTATATTGAGTATTGCAATCGATTAAAATATAGTATTATTGTGATGTGATGTAGTGCAATTAAAAGTTATTTTAAGTTAAACATTTTTAATTAAATGAAATAACCATTTATATATCACAATTATAGGGTTTAATTTAAGCATCCAATCAACATCCAATAAGAAGGTCTTATATCAGAAATAATATCTTGTCGTATTTCACTTTTCAAAACCATATTATTTACTTTTCTATCCATAATTACTTGTGGTTTACTCTACTTAGTTACAAGGTGGGACTTAAGAATTTTCCTATTTTTCCGTGCAAAGAAGTGTGTTCCTAAATCGGCCACCCACTTTTTAATTATAGGACAAGGTAAGAACATTCTTTAAATCATTTTAGACAAATCTTAAACTCTGGTTAAATCGAATTGTTCCAAAGATGGAAATATTTTTATTGAATATAGATTATATAGGTATTATTATACAGAAAATGCTTTTGATCCAATAGAAACAAAATATTAGACTATGATCTAATAAGATATAAGGCAATAATCAATAGATCGGAACTAGCAGCTTGACACATTTGGATATAATAATACAGAAATACCAGACAAAGGAATTCTAAAAACTCTAATTGAAGAAGTTCTAAGTCCATTTTATATATTTTAAGTAAATATTAATTAAATTTTATAGTTTTGCTCTGTATTATTATGGTTTTGGGCATCATATTAGAGATATGCAACAGTAATTTTAATTACATCATTGATTTCAATATTTATAACTTTATATGAATAAAGAAGAAGCTTTTATCGCTTATAGTAATTGTCAAAATTCAATATTCCAGTTCAAATAATAGATGAAGGATAAGTGAAGGAAATTGAATCAATAAATTTAGTACCTGGTGATAAATTAGTAATTAAGGATAGTATGATAATGCCATGTGATGCTATACTATTAAATGGTTAAGTCATATTTAATGAGGCTATGTTAACAGGAGAATCCATACCTGTTTTAAAAACAGAGCTTCCAAATAATAAAGAAATTTATGATCCATTAGATTCAGGCAAATAATTTACATTGTTTGCAGGTACAACATGTATGGAAATCAAAGGATAAGAAGTAATTGCTTTAGTTACTCAAACAGCTTTTAATACTTAGAAAGGATAATTAATTAGATCAATTATGTTTCCAGTTTAAAATTCATTTAAATTTTATGCTGATTCTATGAAATTTGTAGGAATAATGGCAATTTTAGCAGTTATAGGATTTATAATAACAGTACCTAATAAAATTGAGTATCTCTTAGATGGCTCAATATCAACATGGGAATTTATTAATGAAGGTTTGGATTTAATTACAATAACAGTTCCACCTGCATTACCAACATGTTTACAAATAGGTATAAGTATAGCATTGGCAAGATTAAAGAATTCTAAAATATTTTGTATATCACCCTAAAAAGTAAATATTAGTGGAAAAATAACTATAATGTGTTTTGATAAAACAGGAACACTAACAGAAGAAGGATTAGATATGTATGGTATTAGAATGATAGAGAATTAAAGATTTTCAAAGATTGTAACATCAATTGATGCTAATACTGATGTTAATTTTATTAAAGGAATGGCAACTTGTCATGGATTATCATAAGTAAAAGGTAAATTAGTAGGAGATCCTTTGGAATTGAAAATGTTTGAATCTACAAATTGTGAATTAATAGAAGAGCAAGATGGTAGAATAAGGATTAGAAATATAGATAGAATTAATGTAGAAATTGTAAAAAGATTTGAATTTTCATCTAAATTATAGAGAATGTCAGTAATTATTAAAGAGAATGGTTAATATTTTGCATATATGAAGGGATCACCTGAAAAATTAAGATAATTATGTAATAATCAATCAATACCATTTAATTTTCATTAAGTATTGGATTTTTATGCATTAAATGGATTTAGAGTATTAGGATTGGCATAGAAATAAGTATAATCAATAGATTTAGATCGTTAAGAAATTGAATCAAATTTAAATTTTATTGGATTTATTATAATGGAAAATAAATTGAAACCTATTACAAATAAGATTATAAAATAATTGAAGGATTCACATATTAGATCAATAATGGTTACAGGTGATAATGTTTTAACTGCTATTAGTGTAGCTAGATAATGTGGATTAATTGAAAATTAGAGAGTATATTTAGGAGAATTGAGTGAAAAGAAATATAATGGAAAATATTATGTATCATGGAAAGATTTTGAATATAATTAAAATGAATTAAATGAAGATACATTAGAACCATAATAATAAATTATTAGTAATCTAAATGAAATTGAAAAGGATATAGATGTTCAATAGGATTTTGAATATCTAAATTAAAGATCTTTCTCTAAAAATTTAGTTAAAAATAAATCTTTGCTAGAAGATCCACCTCCTGTTACTATATAATTAGATAATATTAGTGAAATTTATACTGATGGAGATTTCATGGAAGAACAACCATGGAATGAAAATGAGAATTATGTATTAGCTATATCTGGTGGTGCATTTATGCATTTAAATAAATATGGATCTTAAGCAACACTTAATAATATACTTGAAAGAACAATTGTTTATGCTAGAATGAGACCAGAAGAGAAAGCTAATCTAATTTTATAGTTATAGAAACATAAATCATAACCTTTAGTTGGTTTTTGTGGAGATGGTGCTAATGATTGTGGAGCTTTGAAAACAGCTGATGCAGGAATTTCTTTATCATAAGCTGAAGCATCTATTGCTGCACCATTTACAAGTTAAATTTAAGACATTTCATGTGTTCCAATTTTATTATCATAAGGCAGAGCAGCCTTAACTACTTCATTTTGTTGTTTCAAATTTATGGCATTATATTCAATGATATAATTCATTTAAGTTACTATACTCTATTTAAAATAATCAAATTTAACAGATAATTAATATCTTTACAATGATCTATTTACAATATTCCCTTTAAGTATGACTATGGGATTAGTTTAGGCAGCAAAGATAAATAAATATGTACCAGGATCATCATTAATTAGTTTCTCTGTATTAGGTTCAGTTATAGGATAAACTATTATTTAATTATTATTTTAATTAGGAGTTTATCTATTATTATTAAAATAATCATGGTTTATACCTAATAATGAATTAAACAAAGAAGATCTAAATGATGAAACTATGAAGATTTGTTTTGAAAATACTACTTTGTTTATATTTGGTAATTTCTAATATTTGATGATTGCTTTGGTTTATTCAAATGGAAAACCTTTTAGAAAACCTTTCTATACTAATTTTTATTTCATAGGAAGTACAATATTCTTGTTTATTCTTGCTATCATATTTCTTCTGATGAGAATTGAATATATAGATGAAATCATGGGAGTAAATTATGCATTTATAATTAGTTTATATTTTAGAGTTATGATGATTAAAACATTATGCCTGAATCATGGACTATTTTATTAGGAATAATAGCTATCATTAATGCTGTTATTACATTAATTTATGAAAAAATGATTGTTCCAAAATTTGTATTCAAAAAGAAAGTGCATTCAATATAATTCTGATATATTCATAATATTTATTAATGATTTAATAATCTGGCATCTCATTTTAAAGTAGATAAACTTAATTGAAAGATCAAATCATTATGCTTGAATAGAGAGCTTAAGAGATCAATCAAGATATTAAGAAAGTATATATATATTTCAATTTTAGAAAAGGAAAACTCAAGGAAGTCAAGATAGATAAATCAAATTAAAAACTCTTCAAAATCAAATTGATAAAATGAAATAGTTGAGTGAAGATTTGTAACATTTAATCATAGATGTATTTAAATATATTTAATTCTTATATAGGATAAGAAATGGTAAAAATTGATGATGCTTTTAGATATTATGTATTAAAATTTAGATAATCCAGAACATGAATAAGACATTAATTAAGTATATACAATTTCTATTATTTAGTTAATTAATCAATTATATTAAACTAAAAATGTAACAACTGTATGGAATGATCGAGTCTTATAACCAAATAGATTAACAATTGAGCCTTTTGATTAAAAAGCTGCAACTCAATAAGCTTAATTAGTAGATTAAAATTCTGCTGCATATAAAATTAAAATGATGGACTTTAGTTATAATGATAGGCCTTAGAAAAATGATTATTATTAGCCTCCAACTTTTAAAGAAAAATTAAATTTAAATAGTTTGCTACCTAAATATAAAATGCTACCTCATTCAGTATTCAGTTAATTAAGTAGTGATACATTATTCTATGTATTTTATTATCATAAAGAACCTACTGAATAATTAATGGCAGCAAGAGAATTAATTAAAAATTAATGGATATATAATACTAAACATGGATATTGGATGAAGAAAGATAAACATTATTAATATGTAAAATTAATTTTTATATATAAGAAGGATGAAGAAAATGAAAAAGTAATCAAAGGACCTTTTATTTATTTTGAATGTGAAGCTAAATGGTAACAGAAAAAAAAACCTGACTTTTCCTTTAAGAAAAAACACATATTATAATATGAATTAATTTAATGAGTTATGGTTTGTCATCTTAATAAAAAACTATTGCATTTCTATTAAAAAATAATAAATATTTATTTCTAAAAAAAAATACAAATAGATATGTCAATACGTGTTTTAAAAAGCATAATATTTAAAGGTTTACTAAAGAATCACAAACTATTTAGAAATTATGCTCCAAAAACCAATGATGAAATATTCTTCAATTAATATGATCAGACATTTATGAATAATTCATTTGTAAAAGATTGTTTAAAATAACAAAAATTAAAAATACCTGTAGATTTCTTTAAAGAGAGTAGATATGATGATTTTGCAGAAGATTTTAATGATCTTTAAATAACAATGAATAAAAAATAACAATAATGATATCAATACATTTAAATTATTTTTCTTTATTTTAATAATATACATCATTAACTTGTTTTTTTGAGTTCTTCTAATTCTAAAGCTTTTTTCAATGCCTCTTATTAATGTCTTGACTTTATTCCTACTTGACCACCACCTATAGTTCTTAATAATTCATGATTCTCGTTATAATGTTATCTTAAATCTCTAGCCTTAACATATTTTATAATATTATACTAAATTATCAAATTCAGCTTAATCTTCTTTTCTTACTTCAGTCAATGCAACACAAGTTGCAGTTTTTTAATGAACCAAAGCACCTAATCTAGCCTTATCTATAAAATAATAAAATTAAAATTTTTACTTTTAACAAATGCAAATGGTACTTCTTATCTTCTACATAATTATGGTAACCAAACTACTAATTCAATTGGATCTACATCATAAGCAATCAAAACTAATTTAGCTTTTTTTGTTTCAACTAAAGTAGTTACATGATTTAATCCAAATTTAAGAACATTTACTTTTTTAGTATCAGGTTTTTAATTTTATGTTTTTTATTCTGCTGCTTTAATTAATCTTTGTTTTTTTTCAGTCTTTGTTTCTGGAGAATATTTTTTTAACAAAGAATATATTTTAGAACCTATTATTAAAATTTATTATCAAGTTTACTTTAGTTTTTATCAAGAGTTTTACTAAATTAATGAATAGCTGCAGGTACTTTGATTCTTTATAATAAAATCTTTTTTTATCTATGGAGTAGAATATAACGAGGCCATCTCACATATCTTGATAAATCACGTTTTGGTTGAACATCATTTCCAATTCTAAAATTTTTAGCTTCTTTAACAAATAGAGGATTCTTTTTTCTATCTGCAATCTTCTTAGAAATTTTCTTTGATTTATTAGTTTTTGGTGCTTTTGGCTTTTGTATAATAGATCAATATAAATACCATAGTTAATGAAAATCTTTTAATATTATTTTTGAAAAAAATTACGAAAATTAGAATCATTAAAATCATATATAAGATAAAGTAGCCGCTACAACAAGTTTCTTATTCTTTTCAATTCTTTAAAAAGTAGGATGTTATTCATTGAGATATAATTTCAAAATAGATGTTGCTTTTTCAAAAGACAACTTTGCACTTTTAAATTTCATTCTATCTAAATAAGCCAAGGCTAGATTATTCAATACTAATGCCAATCCAATATTTTATGAGTCTCTATCAAAATAATAATATATTATACCCATATAAACATACAATCTATTCATAGAATTCCATAGCATTATTACTATTTCCTTATAAATGGTTGATTACACCCTATAAATTGAGAATCTTTATAATGCTTATATGTTTTTCGCCATATCTAATTAAAAATGTTTATTACAATTTAATATATCCATCCTTAGATTAATCTAAATATTCCAAAGCAAAATCATATTCTTTTTCAAGATAATAGATACATCCCAAAGTATAATAAGTTTCATATATTCTTTAGTCAGAATGTGAGAGTTTACTTTATAAAATTGACAATCCTTCATAACAAATCTTCTTTGCATCAACAAAATCATCTTTATTTAAATTATTTAAAGTTACTTAATAAAGCATACACAAAAGATATTTTAACTAATAATTTTGCAATTTCCAATTTCCAATTTACTTATTCATAATGTATTAATGCTTTTGTATAATAATCTAGAGTTTATAAATATTAATTATTTAGTAAACAACATTGTGCTTTTGCAATATATATTTAGCATAATAAATCAAAGTCATTAATCTCAAATTAATTTAAACATTTATCTAAACATCTATAATCTAAATATAAATTATTACTTTTAAGCTTCACTAAATTGTCCCAACTCCCTAAATATTTGGGATGCATAGCAAAGCGATTAAATGCAAATTATTATTAATACTGAAATTTATTATTAATCCTAACATTATTTTAATTATTCATTTCCATCTTTATATACATCCATCATCTTCTCTAAAGCTACTTTTGTATTACCATCTCTCATGAATAACAATCCTGTTTAAATCTTTTGACTTAATAAATTATCTTTTAGAGAATGTTCAAAACTGTTATTCATGTTCTAATAGAAGGAAATTTAATCATTTTCAGATTTTTCACTCTTTTAATCATCTTAATCTAATTGGGGTGTTTAATGTTAAGTTGGAGGAACAGTTAATTTCTTATTCATTTTGATACTAGAATGTGAAGATGTTGAAGAACCTTATTTATTATTGTGTTCGGTTTACTCAGAACTTTAACTAATCTTTTATTAAGTTAAATTATACTATATCGATAGGTTAGTGTTGCTTAGAGAATAAATCATTTTTCTTTTATTGCAAAGGAGGCAAAGCAAAATTATGTTATTTTTTAATCACTATACTGATTTTAAATCCATTTTATAACTTCTTTTACAAAAATTTTGCTGCCTTATCTATTCCTTACTACTCTTGTTAAAGTTCATTAAAATCTAATATCTCGAACTCTTCCATTTTTACAATAAATATTTTTATTAATACATCCAATAATCATATGATTTTGATGGCTAAATCCTTTTAGATCAATTTTATTTAGTCTATTGATTGATACTAATTGTATTTATTGTGATTAGCAATTTTAATATACAAAATAGACATATTGAATCAACAATTTTTAATTTGTAATAAAATTACCATCAAGACCATCAATTAACATTTAAACTATAAACATTATTGAACTTACTACTTATATAGATCTTTAATTAATTTTTATATATTTTGATATAAATCAAGGGATATAATCTTTATGAAGAGATTGTAATAAATCAATAGGATCTGTAAATTGTGCAAATTTATCTAATTTAAGATTTTAACTATTGTATTATCTAACATCTCTAACTGTTCTTAATGACATCAAATAATTTTGTAAATATAATAATTCCTACTATCACTAAAAATAACTTACTTAATCCATTTTATTATCATAATAATTAATAATTGGTATTCCATTTAATGGTTAAAGACAAAAAGAATATGCTGCATTATCCACTAAAACCATATCATTTAATGATCTATTTCCAATTACTCTTAAATCTTTTATGTAAGCACCTTCTTCAGTTTACATACAACTATCTCTGAAAAATCTATGAGTTATCATATTTTTATGAGGGTCCAAATAATCAATAACTACATTTGCATAGCAAGAATGTGATGCTGTAAATACAATGATCTCAAAATGTTTATGTAAAGTCTATAATACTTATTAAGCATATGGTCTAATATTAATTGAAGCCTAAAAATATATTTAATAATATTATACTTCTATAATTTCTCCAGATGGGAATTTTATTGGTAAAATAATATCTCCTGGAACTTAAATTGATTCATTACAATGTATTAGAGTTTCATCTAAATCAAATACAATTGTTTTTTTATTTGTGGAGGGTAAATTGATTTTTTTATCTTCAAAATTTGAAACTATTTTAACAGATTTTTAAAATAAGGATGCTTACATAGTTTATAATAAATGTTCTCTAATTAATTCTATTGATCTTGTTATTTCAGGTTACATATATCCTTTAATAATAGAAGAGATATAATATAAAAATGAAGATTCTACTGTTTTTTCTTGAGAATTTTTCCTTTTAAAATTTGTCTTAATTGAATTACTACCAGATTTTGCAGAATCTGGTTTTAAATTTTTAAAATTAGTTTTATTTTCTGTTAATGGAGCTTTTACTTAAGTAACAAAAGTAGATAAACTTGGTTTCTTAATTATTGTACCTTCAATAGAAGATTTATATTCATTATTATTATTAATTAGAGTACTTGATTTTAATTTATTTTGTTATTGAGGAGTGAATTCTCTTTATTCTTTTTATCCTCTATTAGTAAAATCAATTTATACACATTTTTATACTGATGAAGAATTTTGATTATGATTATTTGATGTATTTTATGAAAAAAACTTAGAAGCTATACTATTTTTTGATTATCTTTAACTATTATCTATATGAGATTTAATTGATGATATTTTATTTTCTAAATAAAGGAGTTTATCCTATAATTTTTTATAATCTTAAGGTGTCTATTTTTATTTAGCTGATTGATTTCTATCTATATTTGAACGTATTTCAATATTCTCTTTTTAATCTTTACTACTAAAATATTTGGAATAAAAGTTTTGATTTTGTTTTTGTAATTATATTGAACTTTTCATAGTTTACAAATTCTATTTTTATTATGAATTAGATGAATTAGGTCTTTGCAAATCTTTGTTTGATCTATTTCCTAAATTCTTTTCTGAAAGTGGTCTTCTTATTTCAATCATATTCAAAAGCTGTTAAAAATTAAAATATTTATAGTAATAAATCACTTTCAAAAATCATATTATTTCAGCTAAGGTTTTTTGTTTGTAGAAAATCTCTTAAATGGAGATTAGAACTACTATAATTGCTTAGTTCCCATAATTAATTTAGTCTTTAATTCCTTATATTTACTAGCTCTTGCCATAGCAGCTTATTCTTCTGTTAATGATAACTTATCTAACTCTTCCATAACCTATTTAAATATATTATAATAAAATACATCTCTATGTTAATGTTCTAATTAATCATTTATCCTTTTAGCTTAATCTAATTCATGACTTAATTCTTCTGTAGTTTCTAAACATTCCATATGCATTGATTTCAATCTTTCAATTTCATTCCTTTAATCTATTATTGTTTTTTCTTAATGTTTGACTGTTTAATCTAATTAAATCACTTAGGCATTTAATTCCATACAAGTATCAGCCTCTTATTAATAATTCTTTTAATAAATCAAACTTTCTTATTTAAATTTCTCCTTCTATTTATGTAATTCCTCAAGATCATTTTGTAATTATGATATATAATTCTAAGCTTCTTAATATTACATTCTAGTATATTTGAGATTTTCACTCTTTGATTTAACTTCATTATTGATCTTTGATAATTCAATATAATACATTTTCTACATCAGCTTTATAAATAAGAGCTTATTTTTCAAGATTATCAAATTCTGTTTACAATTAAGAAAATTACTTTTCTTTTTCATTTAATTTATCTAATACATCTTCATATGTATTATTTAATAATTCTCTATCATGTAACAATCTAATTAATATGTTATACATTACCTTTTTCTTTCATCTTTTGCTGCTTATAATTCTGTTTCTAATCTAAGCTTTTCTTCATACAATTTTCTATTGTTTTCTTACAATAAACCCATATCATTTTTTACTCTTTGATTTTCTTAAGATCTATGTTCTGTAATCTCTTTAAATGCTAAATTCTCTGCTTTCATTTCTTAATTCTCTATATGCTTTTCAGTTAACTAGGATTTCAAATTATCAATTTCATTTCTCAAATTAGCAATTGTCTTTAATGTCTAATCACTTCTATTTCTATATTCTACTTCATTTCTCATCTTTTCTTCATGTAACATATTATATCTACTATTAAATGTGATTTCACCTATGTTCTAACGATTTCAAATGTGTAGCTAATTCTTAGTAGTCTCTATCATTTTGTTTAAGTTCAAAGTTTTCAGCTTTCAATTATGAAATCATTAAATCTTTTTAATCATTCTCAAATTTTGCAGGAGAGTAGAATGGTTAATTTAGAAAGTTTTTTTATGAATAAGACATTTTATATATAAAATATTTATAACAGTGTTATTTAAAATATCATAAGATTTACAATAAATCAAAAATTTAATAATGAATCTGAAATAAATCAATCACATTTTTTACATCTATAAAAACCTATTTCATAATATCTAGGATCTAGAATTTTGTCAAAAGAATACTAAGAATTACATGTCATGCATTTTAATGAAGATAAATATTTCTTTCCTTCCTTACATAAATAAATCTATTTGCCTTCAATAGTCTCAGATGAAACCTTTAATTTGCAATTCATTTTACAATACAAACAAATTAGGTTTGTTTATCTGCAGTTTACTTTACAATTTTCACATTTTCCTATCATTGTTCCTACTCGAATTTATTAATTCTAAGGAGTTCTAAAATATTCTTTACAACAACTACATTGTACTTAATGCATAACATTTTCAAGTTCTTTACATTATGAACATTTTTTATGTAAATCATTTAAATAATCAATCTATTTAATTTGTTAATATTCATCACATGTCTCACATATAATTGATAATTCTTATGAATCATTGAAATCCCATTATGTTGAATCTAATTCATTTTAATTAACTTATTCAGCTATGTTAAGTGGGTTTGTTAAATTTAATTCTTAGCATATAAAACTACATTTTTAATGAGCATTAAAAAAAAAATTTGCAATACCTTGTTGATTGAAATTTGTTATATCATTATTTAAATGTTTATTATAACTGTCAGCACTCTAAATTGATGGATCACTAAATATATTTAATTTACCTTATAAATCTGTAATCAGAAATTAATTACCTGTTTCTTCATAAGTAAAATGGCTAAAGGAAGAATAGTAATAAAAATCAGGATTAGTATATTATGCATTATTTGAATATTTTTTCCATTAAATATTAGGTAAATTAATGAATGATTCTGCATAAATATGATTCAAACCATAAAAAGGTTCAGAAAGTGTATATAACATGGGTGATACATAAAAAATAGGTGGTGCTCCATTCAAATTTTTAACTTTTTCTCTATAAATTTAGGCTAATTACTTTGCTACAGTTTATGATGTAAATCTTTATTATGAAAACTTTTAAGCTTCTATTATAGTTTCTTCTGATAATTTTACTCGTTCATTTGAATTTTCTTTCTGCAAATTTTATTCTTTTTATTTATATTCTTCTACTATCTTTTTAGGTATTTTGATTACTAAATTTTGATTGTTCATAACATCAAATACTTTAAATATATATGAATTAACTCCATCTTCATTTTCTAATAATTTTTCTGGATTTTAATTAATTTTTAAAGTTGTATTATTAATTCTGTCTTAAGATTAACAAATCTTGGTAAAATCTTTCCAATATTTTTTTCTATCTTCAAGAGTTATACAATTATAATCAATATACTTAGATTTAATAGATTATGCTTTAATCTCTAATGGTTTATTTAATTGACTCTTGCTTATTTTTGAAAAACTTTAATCTAATGAAAATTTAACTAAATTTGGAAAATCTTCTGGTGTTAAATGATCAGTAATTGAAACTTCTGGAAATACAGATTTCATTATTTTAAACATTTTATCAGTCTTTGCAGATATTCTGGAACAAAAGAAAAAATTATTATTTTTAATTTTTCTATATCTTTTCATTAAATTTTCTAAAGTATTAGGAGGAACCTTATCCATAAAATCATCATCATCAATATCATGATATTATTTACCATGACAAGGAGAATCAGCAAATAAAAATGTTATTAATACACTATCTTAATGTTTTGAAATATTTAATTATGATGCTCTTTCTATTCCAGCTACAATATCTTCAGCTTCATCTCCACCACCAAATGCTTTTTATTATTTTACAAATTCCTTAATTAATTCAATTTTATCAGTTAAATCATGAAAAACAACATGATTTTTATCAAGTATCTAAAAATCCATTTATTCAATATTATCATTTTAAGATAATAAACTTTTTCTATCAAGTTTTATCATACTTTACTATTTTTTAATAATAATATCACGATATCCAACAAATCCTACACGAGTAATATATTATTTATTTTTATTTCTAAAATTTTGTATTATATTATCCATTTGTAAATGACATTATTATATCCAACGATCCATTGTCTTTGTACAATCCATTATAAATATAATATCAATAATATTTTATTATTATAATACTTTATGCATTCTTTTTAATTCTTATTCATCAATCATAACTTAAATAAAAGTATTATTCTCATTTAATTATGATTGATTCTAAAGATTTTATTAAGAACATGGCTTTAATTTAGGTTCTTCAAATTACAATTTTCTATTAGATTTAAGTTCTTCCCAAAATACATGTTTTTTAGAGCATTCAATCTAAGGACAAATACCTTTGAAATAATCTATGCAGAAATCTTCAATATTTGGTAAATGTTTTTAACATTTACAATCTAATTTTATACATAACATTTCTGGATTTAAACCTTAAATATCATATTTCTCATAAACTTAAGTCTTAATAGCATTCCATTTCAAATGATTATTACATTTATTTTTACATCTAGTTTAAAAAAATTATACACAATAATCTTTAGCCCAACCAGGATGTAAATATCTACAATTAGTGATTTTACAATTTTGAATATTACAGATGTTCTATCTATAAAACCCATTTATTTAACTTGCATTATTTCGTTATTCTTCAGTTAAATGAAATAATTGGCATTATGGATCATTACATTATCCTTCTTCTTCATCATCAATTAAACCTTATATACATATTCCTGCAAAGCAACGAGGATGCATTTTCTTACATTACTAATCGCTACACTTAATATTATCTAAACAAATATCTTGTAATTGAAAATTCTCCATCTTTGATTGATTTCTATCAAAAAATCAAATTTTTATAAAAATTATTATATATTATATTGTTATTATTATTTAGAAATAATATATTTCGATTTGCTTAATACCTAAAAATATTTATAAATCTATTGAAAAAATTAGATCTTGTGTTAGTGATTGACATTTGTAATTCAAAATAAACCTAAATATGATTCAATTTTAGTTATATATTTGTTAAAATTTATTAATTTCATTTATGATTTACAAATGGATATCAAATTAATTGATATGTAACCTCATTTAAAATAAATATTGATATCTATAAAGTATGGTACAAATTTAATAGCTAACATAAAGTAAGATAGAATTCAAGATATTTTATATTCCCTAAATTAATAATCAATAATAAAGTAATCAAACAATTAATTTTTGTTTATGTTTAAATAATACCTAATACCTTCCAAATATTTAATTAATTCTCTAATATGTCCTCTAAATACTTTAGGAGAGTAAGTACATATATTATTGAATTATTTGAGTTTACACAACGATCCCTTCCACACAAGCTTAATTAATAGATTTCAATCTAGATAATGTGGCAATTTCATTATCTCCATCATCTCATATAAGAATTGCAATAGATTTTGGCAATCGAAATATATCATCTCTTAATAGATTCAACAAAATGTCTATGCCATATCATCTGCATTATTATGTCCATCTTCTAATTATATTGCACATCTATTTAATGCTTTCTCTTAGAAATCAAATAATACGTGCAATTATTATTAAGAATAATTAATGCAACAATTAAATTCATAGACTAATTGAAGAATACTTAATATGATAAGATTCTTAAATCTAATTGATATGTAATAATATTTAATTGTTTCTAAAGAATCATATCTATAAGCTTTAATTCTTTCATCAATTTATAATAAGTTTAAATTTAATCCATCATTATATTTCTTATTTAAAAAGTAATATAATTATATGATGAATTTCATCCTCAGATGGTTAAATAAAGGTATTTTTTCAAATAAGTTTTCCAGTTTTTTTGTATTTCAACTTTAGTAATATTTAATTATTTATTTAAATTATATATTTATTAAAATATGAAAGAATTTATATGTAATTGAAAGTTTAGTATTTATTTGTATATTTTATTTAAATAATAACAAATTAGATATTCATTGCTATTATTGTTATGATTATTATGATTATTATTAATACTATTCTAAAGATTGTTTTTCTACATAAACAACTCTTTATTAATCATTATTATTCCTTCTATAATTTTTATTATTATTTTTATTATAATTATTATTATTATTATTATTGTTGTTATTTCTTCTTTATCCATTATTATTATTATTGTTATTATGTTATCTTTATTTATAAAAATTGCCAAATGTATCAGTATCAATCTAATTTTAATTTCTTTATTAAGTTGATCTCTCTTATTTTTAAGTACTAGTTGAAAGAGAATCAAAAAATGAAGTAGGATTATACTTAGGTTTCACTTCTTACTTTTTAATTTTCTCAATTTCATTTGCTTTTTAAAGCATTTCTTCAAAATTGAAAGCTCTAGGATTTGTTCCATTTGATTTTATTTATTGATTTTATGGGAAATAATTTTAAAATTAACCTCTTTATTCTTATTACTGTTCTATTTATTCAATATTTTAAGGAGGTTAGAAATGCTATACTTATTGGGATTAGTTTTCTTATTTGACATTCTCTAATTTGAGATCCTCTGACTTGTTCTCTTCTAAAGTCTTGAAGCCTTTAATTTCAGCTGCTTTGAACACTAAAATATCATAACTTTATTAATTGGGGGGTATTTCATGATCTTAAATAATTATTTAAAAAATAATACCAGGTCTTCTTCCTTCAGTTCCAAATGAACGTACATCTTTTAATGCAATTGTTTATTATTAAGGATTAATTTAATAGATTGTACCTTCATATCTGATTTCCGATTTAGTGATAATGCTAACCTTTGAATTAAAAACTTAAGCCATTTTTATAAAATAAAAATAAACGAAATCTAAATATTACACAATTCAAAATAAAGTTCTATTTTTTTTTCAATTCATTATCATCAAATATATATTCATTACTATGAATATTATTTATAATGTATTTGATATTAATTATAGCTTCAATATTTATTGAATATATTTAGTGTTTAGGAATAGAATTAATAGACAAGAAGCCTAAGTGTGTTTACATGAATGCTAAGATAGATGATTAAATAACAATTAAATATTTAGTGATTGGTGGTATATCATAGGATGTTTAGATATTTTTTTTTGATCCTTATAATATTTAATATGATTTTTAGAGTAATGAATAATAACTTAAAGCACTTTATAGTGGAAAGTATAGGATTTGTTTTAAAAATAATGGATAAAGTAAAACATTAGTTGAATTTGATTTTGACATTTTAGGAATTGATAAAAATTATGCATCAAAGAATGATATGATATAAACAAAAATGAATTTAAATTAAATAGATTCAGATTTTAGATGGATTTAAATGCTCTAAAAAGAATCATATCATAGAGAATAAACAATAAATACAAACTTAATAAATTTATATTAATAATTGACAATTTCAACTATTATTAAAGTAATACTATTCATAGTAATAATTTCATTTTAATTATTCATCATAAATTAATTTGTTAAATCATAAGATAAATAATTTGTACCTGTTTGATATAAAATATATGAGGAATATAAATAAATATCACTTAATCATTTTATTATATTTTTATCTATATATATTATATATTATTCTTAAATCTAAATTCTATGATTAATCAATAAGAGATTAAAAAGTTAATTATAATTATAATGATTAAAGAACTTTTATTATTATTATACTTTATCATTTTGGTATATGCATTTGCAAATACAAAATGTGGAGGTAAAAGATATAAATGTGGAGAAGAAAATTAGAATAATGTATGTGTAAATGTGTCAGAGTATAGAGGTAAGGTTCATGAATTAACACCATGTTCTGATGATAAAACATGTTTATGGTAAGATGCTGCTTTTTAAAAACCTGTATATTGTACAGACAAACCAACAAAAGATAAGATTCTACCAGGAGAAAGTTGTAGTGGAGATAGTGATTGTTTATCAAATAGTTGTAAAAGTGGAGTTTGTTTGGGATTGAAATTGAATTAATAATGTGCAGGACATTAATATTGTGATGTTGGTTATTATTGTGATACATATTGTAAATAATAAGTTCAATTTGAATAATCATGCTAAAATGATTATTAATGTACTAATAATTGTGTATGTAATTTGGGGAAATGTGCATATTACTATTCATTAGAAAATAATATTAAAGCTGATAATCCTAAGGCATGCTATTATGGATATATTAATCCAAATAATGGAACTTGCTAAAATGGACCTCATAGTTTAACAAAGAGTAAACCATGTGAAACTGATACTGATTGCATATTATTGGATAGTGATTAAAAGTTATACGGTTATTCTGAATGTTAATGTGGATTCAATGCTGGCGGGTTTTCTTATTGTAGTTTGGCTGAAGGAGATCCTGAATATTTGAAGATATTAGAATTATTCTAATGGTTATTACAAGTTAATCAATATTGTCATACTATTTTGAGATATGGACCTTGTTCTTCTCTTTATTTAGATGAATATATTGATTATTAAAAGGCTGTAAAATTCTATGAACTATAATCATAAATCATGTTTAATGATGAATGTATATAGAAAATTTATACTGATGAATATTGGGGCATTCATTCAAACAGATTATATATACTCTTAATTATTTTATTATTATTATAATGAGACATAAAATATATATTTAATTTTGAAATTCAAATTCAAAAAAATATTATTTTAATTAATAAAATGTATAGAAGTTAGAGATTGAGAATGAAATCATAAAATCATTTATCATTATCTCCTCCTATCATCAAAAGAAGGTTAAGAAATAAGAATGATTACAGTGAAATTATAGAGCCCACAGATAAAAAGAAATAACATCTCATATAAGATATTGCAGCAACCAAATAAAAGAGCTTAACCAATTTTGCTTTAACAGTTACACCAAAATATGCATAAGAAAGAGATTACGATGATGATGAAGATATTCTATTTCATGTAATCTCCCTATATTAATCATATAGTCTAAGGGTAAAAAAAGACCTTGGTCAGAATAAGAAGATAATTTGCTTATCAAATTGGTTTAAATGCATGGTCCATAGAAATGGACATTTATTGCTGAACACTTACCTGGAAGAATTGGCAAATAATGTAGAGAGCGTTGGCATAATCATTTGAATCCATAAATCAAAAAATCACATTGGGGTGATTATGAGGAATGGATTCTCTTTTTATCACATAGAGTAATGGGTAATAGATGGGCTGAAATGGCTAAATAATTAATTGGAAGAACAGATAATTCAATTAAAAATCATTGGAATTCAGCTATGAAAAAACGAATCCCTGAAATGGAGGAAAGATTAAAGGATATTCGCAAAAGAGGGGGTAAATTCTAATACAAATAATTTATAGGCATGTCTAATTAAGAATTAATGAACTCATTTACTTCTCTTGAAAGATAATTACTATAAAAATTACTCTCATCTTAATAAAATGGATAAATGTCTCCTAGATCCTATTCCCCAAATAATATCCCTAGAAGAAGAACAAATAAATAATAAAACTATTTAAATCCTAATTCTGTAAATTCATATATTTCAAAAATGATGAATGAAATAAAAATTGATGGAATTGAGAGTTATAATATGGAAAATAAAATGCTAAAGAAAACCGCTAAAATTACAGATTCCATTTTTTGGAATGAAGATAAAGTAGATGATATCTAAAATAATTTATATGAGTATATTCAAGAAAAAGTAGGTGCTCATGGTTTTGATTAAGAAGAAAAAGTAGATAGATGGATAAAAAATTTTTGGATTATGTGTTAAGATGTATTTACTGTTTCAGTAATTAAAGACTTTTTATCATAAAGACCCTCTTTTTATTATAATTATTTACATAAATATAAATAGGACAGTGCCAATTAGGTTTCGAAAAATTTAAGTAGAATTTATGAATAAACTAATAATAGTGATGAATATTAATTGCCTTCTCTAAATCAATTCAAAACACCTTTAAAAGAAAAGGTTGATCCTCATCAAAATAATAATAATAATAATAATAATAACAATCCTAATAATGATACTAATAGTCCTAGTAATCTCTGTTTAGAAGTAAAGTATGATGATCATTTCTAACATTAAATTGAATCACCTTCAAAATTATTAAATCTACTTACACCTAAACATTAGGCTATGCATTAATCTAGTAAAAAAACACCAAATCTCAAATCCGAAAATAAAAGCTTAATTTAGCATTCTTAATTTAAAGATAATTTAAGTTTGAGCAAATTAAAATTTGAAACTACCCCACTTAAAAAAAATTCAGCTTTCAAATTTTATAATAAAATATAACAACAACATTAGTAGTAATAGCTTTGAATAATATATTTGATATATTTTTTTTTTTTAATTAATATAATTAATAAATAAGATATAATGTAATTGTTTTTCTTTCATTATTGTTATCCTGATTATTAACTCTTTTTTATTGTTCCAAAATATCTATCACCAAAATTTCCAATACCTGGTGCTAAATAATTAAAATCTTTTAATAAAATTGGATCAACTTGAGCAGTGATTATTTTCATTTTTGGAAATTCTCTAAATAATTTCTCTATGCCCTATTCACAACTTACTAAAGTTAAAAATGTAATGTTTTCTTATTTAACTCCTTAATTTTTTAAGATTCTCAAAGCCAATGTAGCACTATTACCTGTAGCCAACATTGGATCCATTAGTATTACCTATTAATCCTTAATATTAGCAGGTAGTTTCTAAAATAAATATGATGGCAAGGCTGTGTCTTCATTTCTTTATATTAATATTTATCCTATTGATGCTCCAGATACAGCTTTTAATCCTTCAAATAAAAATGCATTTCCTGATCTTAAAATACTCACAAAACATATTCTTATTATATAATTAATCTTACTCTTCATCCTAAAATTTTACTTCATGAGCATCATAATATCCTAAAGGTGACTGCTTAACATGCTTTTTCTTTTCTATTTATGAAATTGCCTATTCTATAAGTATTCTAATTAAACGATCTGAATTTTTTCGGAATTCCTAACCTTTATTTATCACATTACCACAATATCAGTTTCTATATCTCTTATTATAGATAATATGTGTTCAGTGTAAATTCTGTCAATTATTGATAAGTTCTAATGTTTCTTTAATAGTTTATTTAAATCTTATTCATTAAGAAAATGATAATGAGGTAATTTTTCATCCTTAATTGACTTACATAAAACATATGTTGTATTAAATAATGAAAGATTGACACCTATTCTTAGTAAATTTTTAAACATATTATTTAATATTGTATTTAGCAAAAAATTAAATTAAATAGATATTCAAGTTTCACTATAATTAATTCATCGATTCATAAAAAAACAATTTAAATTAATCTATATAATCAATATCTTCTAATTATTATCCTAAAACACTTAAAGAAATTTCTTCAATTATATACCTCAATTCAAGAAAGAATATATTCGATAATTTTATATCCTAAATATCCTAATTATAAAATATTGAGATTATTGTTTATTTAGAGAAGCTATATTGCTATGCTCTACTAATTCTATTATAATTATATATTTAAATTACATCTCTTAAGCTTTAACTTAGACCATAACCATATATATGACAATCAATAATGGCCCATTCCTAAGATTCTAAGTTTATAGTTATTTCTAATAATTTAATTTTATTATTATTTTACATCCCATATTTTACATCCCAAAAAAACTTATAACTTAATTTCATTAAAAAAAATACCAATATTGTCCGCTTGTAATTAAAGTTTTGAATGTAAAATGTTAAATAATATACTTCAGGCAATTTTATTAAAACATTACTTTATTGCTTATTTTATTAAATAGTATTTCTAATTAGATCTATTCCTCAACAAAAATAAAGATAAGGACTGATATAAAATAATTTTTTATTTCATAACAAACCAAATTTCTTATCAATTATTTGATATTTACTTATTGTGCACAAGACTTGTTATTTCTTTAAAGAAGACTTTTTCCTAATAAATTTGTCTTTTTATTAAATTGAATTCTTTAAATTTTAGATATTATAAATTTTTTTTTACGTAAAAGTTAATAATTTTTTATTATTCTTTTTGAAAATTTATAATTAACATAAGATTTAAATAGAATTAATTATTATGTAATAGAATCATTCTATGTTATTGTTTCTATTTATGCTTTAATATAATAGTTCAATATAAATTTTAGACATTTATATATATTACTTATTTTTATTTTATACATAAGAATTAATAAAACTATTATATTTACAAATTTTCTAAAATTATAAAAATGAACTAATTCATATTTTATAAATAATGAATTATTTATTTACTGAATACTTCATTACCTTAACAATTTAAGGTGATTCTTTAATACAATGAACTTTTGCTTAAAAAATATGAAAATTAAAGAATTTGGATAGTTTTAGAATTTTAGATAAGAAATATTGAAAAATACAATAAATAATAGTATATTATTATATAATATGTATTTTTAATAAAGATAATATGATATTAATGATAAGCAATATCAATTTTAAGATTCAGAGTACTTTTCCAAAATATCAGACGTATGTGAATCACATTTTGAACTATATTTATTTTTGGTTTCTAATTATTATGAATAAAATACTTTTAATGTGAGAATTTGAATATTTAGTATATAATTCTTTGGCTCTACCTTCACATTTGATTAATTCATGGTCTTTCCAGGGAAATCTCCTATAAGTTTTGATTTTCTATAGAAAAATAATTAGAATTAAATAATACTCCATAATCTCTAGTCATGATAATTTTGATCAATTATTTTGTCATATTTTCTATTTTTTCTTCATTTTCATTTTAACAAATTTCCTTAAATTGATCTATTTATTTATAAGAATAAATACTTAAAAATAAGGCATAATATTTAGAGAATCTTTCTGATTCAAATAGTCTTTTTAAATAATTATCATTCATGGTTTTAACCTTAGAATCTTTTCTAAATGGGATCATATCATCAATAGATTCATTTTGAAGAGATTTCATAAATTCTTAATCATCAGAGAAGAAAGAATGATAAAATATTCTATCTCTCTCTTCAGCAGAGACTCCTTCTTTTTCTTCATAATCAATTTAAGTTTTGATAAAGAGAAAACATCTTCTGATGATAAATTTTGTCATTTCCTCTTTTGTTTTATTGACTAAGATATATCGTTTTTTAATCATGTTTGGAAGGTCTTTCTATAAAGATGACAATGTCTACAATTTATACAAGATGAAATACTTTTAAATTTTCTAACACAAACTCATCAAATACACTGTCTTTTAATAATGAAATATGTTTAGATAAGTATTTGAGTAGGATTGTTAATTCTTTTTCAGCTGCTTCTTCAAATTTCACAGTGTTACTTGGTAGTTATGATTCAAATAAGCAAGGCTCTGGGAATTAGCAGGCTTAATCACAAGTTTCTTTTTTAGGAGTTTGTAATGCATACGTGGTAGTTGGAAGCATATAGAACTATTAAAGATTGAGTTATGGATAATTCATATACTATGGGGCATATAATAAAGGAAGCATAAGATGATTTAAAAAAAAAATTAGATGTAAAATTAAATATCTTTTTTTATTTCGAAATAATTCATTCAAATGGCATAGTAGTCATAATTAAATTATAATATTTGAATTCAATTAATATTTATATAAATAACAAATATAGAAATTTAATTAATCTATAACTACATAAATAAGTAATTAGATTAATAAATAAACATCCTACGAATTGTATATATCAAATAATGTTATTCTTTTATTATTGTATAAATGCTTTTTTAATTTATAGTATTCTATTCATAAAATAATCAAATTGAATAAAAAATAAACATCTTTTATTATAAATTATTATATTAAATTATAATGAATACATGTGATAAACCAATAATAAAATTACTGATAATTGGAGATTCTGCTGTTGGCAAAACAAATATTCTAAAAAGATTTTGTGAAAATTAATATACTCCAAGCTTTGTTTCAACTATTGGTAGATTAATAAATTTAAATTTAGAACAGGCATAGATTTTAAATTTCGAGATTTAGAAGTAGAAGGAAAATTAATGAGATTATAAATATGGGATACAGCTGGTTAAGAGAGATTCAGAACTATTACTTCAACTTATTATAAAGGAGCAATGGGTATAATATTAGTTTATGCTATCAATAATCTTGAAAGTTTTTAAAACATTTAAAATTGGATGAATTAAATAAGATAAAATGCTTCAGAAAGTGTAATTATTTTATTAGTGGCTAACAAATCTGATCTTAATGATAGAGTAGTTTAATATGAATAAGGTAAAAATTTAGCAGATTCTTGTGGCATCAAATTTTTTGAGACATCTGCTTAAGAAGGTATAAATATTATTGAGTCTTTCTAATGCATTTCAAAATAAATTAAAGATGTCATGTCATTAGAAGAAAAAGTATAAAATATTAAACTGGAATCAACAAATAAGTAAACCAAGTCTAATTTTTGTTGTTGATTCTATAAATTAATATTTATTAAATAAGAGAATTAACATGAATATTGTTGTTAGAATCAAATAAATTATTTTAAGAATTTCTTAGCACCATCCATAGAAGTTGGTATCTTTGGTTTTGGAGGTATACTTTATTTTTCTTCTTATGTAGTTATTTTAAGAGAACCATAAGATGTTAGTTAAGTACTTTTTACAAAAAGATCACCTTTATTTCTACTTGAAATGATTATTTAACCTATAATTTAAGGTTAATTTTTCAAAGGTGATGAAACTGTAACTTAAGTAGGTGTTTTAACATTTTATAAACCCTCAGTTTTTTATTAATTAGAATATGATTTCTTCTATTTTTATATTACTGATTATGTGTTGTAAATTAATTCGATAAGTTAATTCTTTTAATCAGTAATTAATTGAAGAGCAGAATTTCTTATATTATTATTTGGAGAATTAATCTATGATTTATTTTACTATTCTTAATGTTATTAATTTTCGAGATTTTGTTCTTAATTTTATATAGGCTATAATTTATTTAGATGAAGATTTCTATAGTTTAGAAGTTAATCTTATCTATTAAATTTAAATAATTTCTCATTGCCTTTTCTATCACTACATAATTGAACAAAGTGGGATTCCTCTTTTAATGATTTTACACGATTAGATGCCCCTTTCAAATATTACCTTTTATAATTTGTTTTTGTTGCTGGTAATCTTTAGAAATCTCTATAACTTGATGTTCCAGTGCCTGATGCAGTTCGAATTCCTCTAAATTCTTAGACAGAAACTGATACTGTATTAAACATAATTTAATTAATAAATATTATTTGACATATTCAATATAAACATGATATCTATTCATGAACTAAAAAGACTTAAAGTTTCTAATATTTCTTTTTTAGCCTCCACTTAATCTGTCAAAGTTTATTCAAAATATAATGCAAATGCACCTAGTAATTTTGGATAATCTTTATGATAATCATTAGCCTTCTCTTTTAAAATTGATATTTTTCTTTCATCCAATAATTTTTCTTTCTCAAATTAATTCAATGCTTAAAGAATAAGTTCTAAACTAAAAATTAATTATCTTACCTTATTACAATAATTTAGAAATGCTATATATACTCTCAACAAAATCTTCTATATTTTTGTTAAATAGATATAATTCAAAAACACCTTTAATTCTTTATTCATTTCTTCTCTAACTAATAATAGATAACATATAATCATCTATTTTTAATTGTCCTTCTTTTTGTAATTTTTTTAATAAATCCTCTAATTATTTTTTTATTTAATCTTATTGACTTAATTTTCTTACAGCAGAAATAAATCCATTTAAATCTTTATCTTACTAATACTCTTAATATAATTCAACTATTTTTATATCTCTCTATTCATTTGGCATATTCTCTAATCTATTTTTCTCTTCAGCTGAAAAATATTTTCTTATCTGTTATAAAATCTCTTTCGCTGTTAATTAATTCTTTATTGGTTCTATAATTGGTTATTAATCTAAATCTGTATCAGGTGAATTGATCTATATAATAATAATTATTATTATTATACATTAGTAAATTTTGAATATTATTTAATTATCAACTTTAAATTTTCTAACATATCTTCTGCATCTTAATTTTATAAATAAGTTTCAAATGTTCCTAAAACTTATAAATCATTATCCATAAACATTTTTAATAAAAAGTTTTTCTCATTATCTTATAAATGATTTTATAATGTAAATTATCTCACTTAATTCATAAATAAATTATACATCTTTATTTTTCTATAATCATCTTTTTTATTTTATTATTCAGATAATAATTTACTATTATATATTTAAATAATAATACATTAGTTTTGTTCTGGTACCATAAATATTTCTAGAAGATTACCAACCTTATAAAATTTCATATAGTTGCTAATTATATTCTGAAAATAACATTTCTACTTATCTAACTTTAGGTTCATCCAAATCCATATCCCAAAGCATATCTTTAAATATTTATTATAATTCTTTTTCTGCTTGAATTTAATAAAATTAATCAATCTTTCCCATATTAGCTTATCTTTTATCTTTTTTAGTTTACATAAAGTTTTCTTCATTAAAAATTATATCTTTAGCAGCAACTTCTTATGTACTAATTCTTTTTTATGGAGAAATTTATTCAGATCTACTCAGAATATCAATCTTTTAATAAGTTGGCTATTATATTTCTTAAGCTGATCCTTAGATTGCTTATTAATCTTCCAAATTTTTATCAATTTATAATGGTATAGGTTGTGTTTAATGCATAAATATAATTTTATTTTCATTCTATTATTATTATTATTATTATTATTATTATTATTATTATTATTATTATTATTATTATTGTGTAGTAGTTGAAGTAGGAATTTAAGTTTATGTATTTTCTTATAATTAAAAATTTGGCATTAATACACTATAAGGTGATGGAGCTTTAGGAATAGACTTAAATAATATAATTTCCTTAGATTCTTAGGCTTACTATTTTTAAGGTTAATTAAGATTCTGATTTTAACTTTAAACTGAATTAATTGCTTTTCTTAAATCATTAATAAATTATTCTATATTGCTTTAATATCTAAAATGCTATAAGACAGCATGTATTGATCCAGAATGACTATTTCTATATTCATGAATCATAGCAATTTCAGATAATTTAAAGTTTTACTACAATAATTCATTAAATTTGGAATCAGAATATATCTGTAATGGTTTAAGAGAGGGTTATTCACCTCTTTACATCTTATTATAAATATCTGTACATAATTATAATAAAACTTGATCTTATTGATTCCACAATATATTCATAATTCCAAATTATTCAGAATTATAACTGTAATTATTTTTTTCAATTACTTTATTTTTTATATCTACTAATCGTTAACTTAAATCTTATTGAATGGAATTTTATTAAACAGAATGATTTTAGTCTTAAGATTTAGTGTGTATTTATTATTATAATGGTTTAGTTTGAGGCTTTGTTTATTTAAGACTTTAAAAAGGGGATGTTGGTCTCTCTTAATAAGTGCAATTTTCAACTATTTTATTTAATTTTTCACATAATTATTCAATGTTTATATGATTCTACAAATATAATTAAAAGACTTTAATAATTTCTTTGTTTTCTTCAATTAACAAACGCTTGACTAATCTTGCCATTGTGACATCCAATATTTCTTTTTCTTCTAGATCACCTACTAAAGTAAAGAGCATATCTTATTAACTGATAATTGATTCATTATGATAGATATTACTTTATTATTATTATTATTATTATTATTATTATTAAGATCTATAATCTTCAAAATTCTCACTGCCTCTTGAAGGATCTCTTTAAATAAATTTAGCTTAAACTCTGGTTATTAATTTTGAAGATCCAGCATTTTAATTCATATATTAAGAGTTATTAGAAATTTAAGATTCTTCAACCAATTTACGAATAGATTTACTTCTTCGTTTATCAGGAGATTATTAAGATGAGATTTAAGATTATTATTTAATAATTGATGTTCTTGTACTAGTACCTTATAATTTTGCTTAAACTAATTTATGTATAATATCATCCATTTATCTCATTTTTTTATCATTATTCAATTAAATGGAAACAATTTTCTTAGATCCTTTATAGATCCATAAAAATTTAAAATAGAAATCATTTTCCTTTAATTGATCTTATAATCTGTTGCTAAATGAATAGAAAAAGTTAATCCAATTATTGAAATTATTAATCAAAGGTTCTAGTGCACTTAGAAAATCTAATCCTTGCTAATCTTTTTCATCTATTAAGTAAATACAAGTGTATTGATCTCCACCTAGAATCTATTGAAATTCTTCCAAATCATAAATAAAATCAATAAATGATAGCTTATTGTTATAATCTGACATCTAACTATATTTTAGAGATGTTTATAATAATTTGTTATCATTTGAATTTTAATGTTCTTCACTTACAATGGTATAGGTATTACATCTTGTAAATTACAATTATTATATAAATTATGATAATTCATAAAAGTTGCCTTGATAATTAACAATTATTGTTACCATCTTAATCAATCAAACCTATTATTTTGTTTTTGATACTAAATAATTAAATCAAAAGTATTTGTAAAGATTATACATTAACTCGTTTATCCAAATTTAATTGTTTAACTTTATTCTAATATTTGAGGATGAGTAACATTAAATAATTTATATTATTTTCAAATATAATAATTAATATAAATCATAAATATATTTTTTTTGATTCTTGTAATACATAAGTCATAACATAAGCATTTGTTTATAATATTTCAAATGGAATTAAAGTAAGTAAGAGTTTTGATTAATTAATTTAATTGGAAATTAAATTTTTGTAGCATTTTTCTGTTATAATAGTGAATACACTTATAAAACTAGCACCAATAACAAAAGTTATTATTTGTGTTAAATAATGTTATTCAATTAACATCTTTAACTATTAATCTTAATAATTTGATATAACTTAAAGTGCAAATGCATTATATAAATATGATTATTATATCTCTTAATCTTTTAAGAATATGATATTATCATAAAGAGTTTAGTATTCATCTTAATTATTATCTATATTCTAATTAAAAAAATTACTTTTATAGAATTACAATGTTGAATATAATTGTTTTAATTAATTTACAAAATTAATTATAGAAATGCTTATTCCTTCTTAAATTTAACTAAGAGTATGACACACTTAGTAACTATAAAAATCTAAATATTCTTCCATTTTTAAATATTAAATTAATTCATTGTTGAAAATATCACATGTATTATTTGATAAAACATTATAAAAAAGTTCATTACTTGAATCTGAAAATCTTTATGTGAGTTCTTATTAATAATATAATATAATGGGATATTGACTTACTTTTTCTATTTCAAATAATTATAATACTATTTTTATATTTAATATTAAAATTACTTGTATTTTTAATTACATTGCTAATATTCTAATTTAGTAATTAATTAAGTATTAAATTCTAAATTGAATTTTCTTTGATAATTTCAGATTATAACGAATCATAAATTTGAATTTCATTATTAATTCTTTTGTATTCATTAAGAAATTGATATTTAATCATAAATGAAGTTATAAAATAAGCAGAAACAATAGAAAACAACAGTAAAACTAAAAAGATACTAAATATTATCAAAGGAGTTGCATCTAAAATATAATATGAAAATACTTGATCCAACTATTGTCTTTAATTTACCATATTATTATTTACTTTAATTAGAATCTTTACCAATGCGAATTGATTTTACAAATTTTTTAATATGTGAACTTTCAATATCATATTAATTTGTCTCCTATTATATAAATTTTGTTTCTTCCAATTTATCTAACAAAATTTAATAAATATCATATTATTATTAAAGTTCATTTTAAGGGAATGTCATAAAAAATTCCAAAATTGTATTTTTTTATTTATTAATAATCAAAAATACAGGTAATAGTATAATAACTATTAAACTTAAAGTAACTTCTGATAGAATTATAGTTAATTATATTTAGGAATCAATAATATCAATTTACTAATGAATATTATTATTAATAGTATTATTAAATTCTACAAACATTTCCTAAACAATCACCTAAAAATTACGTATTAGAAATATTATTCCATCTTTATGTAATTCTTTATCACTTATATAATCAATCATGTATTCCCCTATTAATTTTATTAAAAATATTTAATCCAAATCATATTTAATAGTTTCTTCAAAATATATGGTTTCTATAAAATATATAAATAATTACTTAATTAATGAAATATTGATTAATCTATGATTGAATTTTGTTCATTTAAAATTTATCTTAAATATATCTAATAATTAATAATTGAAAGATTCTATAGTTATTAATACCAAATCTATGTATTATTTTATTAGATTTAAATTTATTCATATTGGTTTGATAAAATAAATAAATTTAAAGAGTTTTATAAATTCATTAATAAGTGTTTATTTTCTTCAATTTCTTCTAATTTCTATAATATATATATAAATAAATTTACATTTTAAGTAATAGCAATAAAAATTAAATTTACTATATATAAGATGATTAATAAAACTAAACCAAAAATTAAAATACCAGTTTTAGTTGTATTATTTTAAAATTAATGATCTGAAAATAAGACATCTCTTATCATTCTCCTTTTACTAATATAATCATTTTATTATTATGAACTGGCTATAGAACTTCCATCATTTTAATGATTTGTAACTTAACGATTTTTATAATATGAACCTGAATCTTAATCAATTGAATTTTTTGATTATCTATTTGATAATTCCATATCATCAATCTAATTCTTACTTATAATTTTAAAACTATTTTTTCTAATTAATTAATTTGTTGTCTCAGATTCATTTTGTAATAATTAAACATTTTCTTTTGTTTTTTAGTACATATGAGAATCTATAGTATTTAATAATGTTTATTGTATCAAATCTCTTCTTGTAGAATAATGTTCATCAAAATTTCTCTATTTCTGACTTATCATATTATCTTCTTCCATTATTAAATTATTATCTAAATCATATGATTTTCTATCAAATAATTCTATAGATTATGATTTTCTAAATGCTTCTATTTACTCTTGATGAAATACATCATATCCTTCTGAATCTTATAAATAATAATGTATTTTTGGTGTTAATTAACATTTCTATATAGAGGATTATTCAATATTACAAATATTCTATACTATTTTTATAGCCTTTTATTGATGCTCAGTTTTAATCATTTTCAAAGTCTATATTTCTAATATTCTATGTAATGAATTAATGGTTTTCATTAATCTTATCTTATATTTAACATAAAATATAAATAGATGTTAAATATTTTAATAGAATAAGTGATTTTTTTATTATTAAATGGTAAAATAATTTTGAACATCAATATTAAATATATTTTTATTTGAAATCTATATTTAATCTAATAAATTTTATTATTTAGGAATTAATATATGACCTTCCATTAAAATATCTTAATTGATTTAATCTTTATTTTATTAAGAAAATTCAAAATCTATTTCATTGCTATTTTATTAATTTTATTCTAATTTTTACAAGTCTTTCAATAAACAAGGCATTAATCTAAGTAAATTTAAATTTTTTAATTAAAATGGATAACAATTCATAGTTTTCTATATTATTTCTTCATAAAAATTATAAGACATCTCTTCCAAAATACCATATCTACTAATTACAATATAATAATTTTATTAATTAATTTATGTTATCAAAGCAGATGATCCAAAATCATTATTAGAATAATTCTCTAATCTCACTTTAGCATAAACAGGTATTATAAATTATTATTTATTTTTAAGAATCAAAAATCTTTATTCAGCCATTACTATATTCATTCTACCCAATTCAATGAAATTATCTAAATACATATCATGATATTATGCAATAGAATCAGGCATAAAATACTTAATATTTTAATTTTTAATATCTTAATCACTACCTAAAATCAAAGATTTAAAAGATTTAGTATAATTTTATATTGAACCTCTTTAATTCATAAGTGATATATAAATAATACAAGATTCTTTTTCAAATACTTATTAATTAATTGATTAAATAAATTAATTTGCATATTATGAATTTCTTCTAAGAGATTTTGGTCTTTTTAGATTAAAGTGTATATATTTATAAAATAGATAAATTATTGTATCTAATTCAGATGAAACTGGATTTAATTAATATAAACTTAATATTTATTATTCTAATTATTATATTTATTATTAAAGTTCTGTACCCTTTTTAATAATCATTTATAATTGTAATTATTAATTTAATAATTAATTGTACCATTTCTTATAATTTGTTAATATAATTTAAAAATTTAATTTAGTGGTATCTAAATTCTAATCATAATCAAAAACTTATTTAAAATTATATTTCTGATTTTTTAAATCTTTTTTCTCAATCATTAAATTAAAATTATATTTTGCATCTTGAATAAGTTATTCAATTATCATTATTTTCTTTTAAGAAAGTTTTTTTATTTTAAATTTCAAATTCATAGCCTCATAAAATGCTTTAGTAGGTTTCTTTTAAATTTAAAATAAAAAGTAAATATATGAAAATTAAATATTTGTTTCTAATATTGATTTTTAATTAAGATATCTTTCAAAACTATCCTTTATTAAATCAAATAGAAATTATTTAAATTATTTTTCACTATTAAATGCAAAATATTTATTTTCTGTTTCTAAATCTAATTCTCTCTTCCAAAAATTTATTTATTTATCTTCATTGTATTAAAAATACTATTTACAAAAGCATTTCTTAATTAAATTAATATCATTATTTTAATTTCCATAACAATTTCTTAAATGATTAGCAGCTAAACTATGTAATTATAGAGAAATATAAGATCTAATTACTGGTTATCTAAATGCTCTCCATTCCTTATAATAAATGATTGTTATTAAATCAAATATTTTCCTTAGTTTTTATTCAAAAAACCTAAAGTGTTTATCATCTAATTAAAGATGTTATTAAATTTATAAATCTTAAATTCTATGTTGAATTTTAATGATAATAGGACATGTTATAAATACTATTAGATTAATAAATTCAACAGAAAATGTTCCATTAACAAAACAAAATAAAGCAATATATAAAAATATAAATTACCCAAATATTAAAGATTTAAATTGATTCATCAATTATTTACGATTCAAAAATAAAAATGAGTTTAAAAACAATTAATATATTGTAAAAAGTATTCCTAATAATAATTATAAATTTGGATATTCTTATTATGTAAAGATCACTATTGCAATTGTTGAATAGATATATAAATTGAGTAATAGTTCAAAATTGGATTCTTTTTATCCTAAAAAATCAGGATTTTTAAATTTATAATCAAAAAAGTGAAACATCATAAAGTTATCAAATAATAAGAAAAATAATAATACTACAAATGATGTAATAATACCTATTGTATGTATCCAATCTAATTAATATATTTAATAATACCATTATTTTCAGATGGATTCTATATAAATATGTAAATATTATCTAAAGAGCTATAAATAATACTCCAATGAAACAAGTATTTGTAGGTTTATAAAAAGATGGAAACTATGAAGGTTATAAATTTTATAAATTTCATTAACAAATTTTACTTTGTTTATAACTATC